CATAGGGTTGCTAAAAGTTAGTCCTCAAACAGCATTTGTTGAAATGACAGAGCTTGAAAGTGGTATGCGAATATTTTTTTCAAGTGGGTTACTCACGCCACCCACACTAACTGGTATTATTCAGAAATCAGTGTTTATACTGAAGATATGTCACCCAGCAGTCTGCTGAGGGAAAAAAAAGAACATAATAGTTTCAAAAACTTGGGATTCTTTCTTTTGTTTGTTGTTGTTGTTTGTTGTTTATTTTTTAAGACAGAGTTCTCACTCTGGCCCAGCCTAGAGTGCTGTGGTGTTGTAGCAACCTCATTCCTGGGCTCAAGTGATCCTCCTGCCTCAGCCTCCCAAGTAGCTGGGACTACAGGCACATGCCACCACTCTTGGTAATTATTTCTGTTTTTAGTAGATGGGGGTCTCACTCTCTCTTGGGCTGGTCTCAAACTCCTGAGCTCAAAGCAATCTCCCACCTTGGCCTCCCAGAGTGCTGGGATTACAGGTGCGAGCCACCATGCCCGCCCAAACTTGGGTTTCTTAATCGGCCAGCTGACCTATCTGTTTCTTTAGTAGGTTCAAGCCTAAAGACACGAGTCAACAAGAAACAGGAAGGCTTCCTTAAAACATCCCAGCCACGAGTCACATTACTCTGTGAGTTTCTCTTGTGTGCCATTTAGGCGTATGAGAGAGCCAGAAGACAGTAGATGGGGACAGGTGATAGTATATCTTAGGTAAGGATAGCTATACAAAATCTGTTCTTATGCACTAGAAGAACTGGCATACGGTCAAAAACTTTTTTATAGGCATGCTGCAGAGGGAAAACAATACAATGTGTTACCTCCGAAGTCCATGGCATTGGTCCTAAACTTAAAGCATTAAAATTGATAGTGTTTTGAAGATAACTGCAACGTGTATTAATGTGTTAATGTGCTATTTCCCAGTGTTTGCAAATTCTACTTAGCAATTTATTGACCTAATCATTTGCTCGGCAAATATTGATTTTAAACAGAAAGCAAACTTCCATTTGTCCAGGTTGTTATGGTCTTACTTAGCTGTATCTAATACCCTCCGTCACTAAATGTCGGTATTATTACTTGGCCAATATGTATCAAACGCTCAAAAATGAATATCCAGGGGCATAATTTAGGGAACTTGAATCTATGGCTCCTGGCTATAAAAGGTTTATAAAAATTAAAAAGTAAAACCGCATATCCCGTCCATCCTTCAACATCACTTCTGCAAAATAGGAGAAAATGGGTCCAAAGGTTTGTGCAAAGGTTTGTTCATCACAACTTGTTTATAATTGAAAGGGAAAACAGAAATAAGATGACCATTTATAACCATGTTGTAGAAGACCATTTAATGATGAAGGAGCTTTTCTTAACTATTGTAAATGCTACTAAACTATAAGCACAGTATGATTGCAATTTTTTTTTTGAAAAACAGGTCTTGCTCTATCACCAGGCTACAGTGCAGTTGTGTGATCATTGCTCACTGCAGCCTCGACTCTGGGCTCCAGTGATCCTCCTGCCTCAGCCTCCCAGTAGCTGGGGTTGCAGGCATGGCCCACCACACCTGGCTACTTTTTTTTTTTTTTTTAGAGAATAGGGCCTCGCTATGTTGTCCTGGCTGGTCTCAAACCTGGCTCAAGGAATGCTCATGCTTCAGCCTCCCCAAAGTTCTGAGATTACAGACCTGAGCCACCACCCCAGCTGATTGCTTTTAAAAGACACACCAAACACGGAGAAAAAGAGCCACATACAGCAGTATCCCTGCATTTGAAGCATTTAACACAGTGCTTAGCACATATAAATAGCATGCAAAATTTTAAAAAGAAGTTGCAAGTTTATATTGTAAGAGTATATATCTTTTGCAACTTAATTTAGTAAAAATATAAATAAACCAAAACAACACTCACAAGCTGTGGTCATCACTGGGTGGTAAAATTCAGATGCTGGATTTTCTTCTTTTTGATTTTATATAGTGTCCAAAGCACTTACTTTGCAATTTTTAAAAAATATTATGTGCTATGTATTTTGAAATACAGTTTAACAATAGAAGACCATCCACAAAACTTATGGTGCAGAAAAAGAAAGAAAAAAAATTTAAAAAAAGAAAGCTTAAAAAATAATAAAAACTTATGGTGCATCCACAGGCATCTGGCAACAGTGTTGGGCAGCTCAACATGTATAACTGGAACGGAAAAGGCCCCATAACACCTTGTTAAGTGAAAAGGTCATGGTGCACAGGAAAAGCCCTTCTCATCAATACTGGATCTAAAGCTTTCTAACAGCACATGGGCTTCCTTAAAATCCTAGAAGCGGCATTGAAAAGCTCCCCAAGCCGGGTGCGTGGCTCTCGCCTGTCTCCTAGCACTCTGGGAGCCGAGGGGAGATTGCTCAAGGTCAGGAGTTCGACCAGCCTGAGCAAGAGCGAGACCCCGTCTCTACTTAAATAGAAAGAAATTAATTGGCCAACTAAAAATATATAGAAAAAATGAGCGGGCATGGTGCCACACTGTAGTCCCAGCTACTCGGAGGCTGAGGCAGGAGGATCGCTTGAGCCCAGGAGTTTGAGGTTGCTGTGAGCGTGCGATGCACGGCACTCACTCTGGCCTGGGCAACAGAGTGAGACTCAGTCTCAAATAAATAAATAAATAAATAAATAAATAAATAAATAAATAAATAAATAAATAAGAAAAGCTCCCCCAAGGATTAATTTCTAAGAGAATGTATCATTGTTTGGCTTCACTATTTGCTAATAATTAAGAGCTAGTACTCTGCGAAGTTACAGTAACTAATTTGTAGCTTTGTGTCAAGTAGGGCTGTAAATCATTTCCACCCGGTAGAAAAAAATAGTCTCCAAGCTTAGGGTTCACCGCCCTAAGCTTGAATGTCAATCAGTTTTGCAGCTGACCTGGTGATCTTACTCTGATCTCCTTTTTATTAAATTGCCGGTTTAAACCACGGCTGCCCAAATGTGCTTTACACCAGCGTTAGCTTCTTAGCAATTTCCTCATTAGTTAAGGGGTTGAATAAAATCTTTTATTATTAAGTGTTCATTCTATATTTGTAAAAGAACTCTATTTTTTAAAATTCGTAAATGCTTAGAAATACGAACTATACACTGAACAAAATTCAGGCTGATACTTTGAACACGGCAAGAGCAGCTTTAAATACACATCTATTCTCGATCAGCACGGTTGTAACATTTTAGAAAATGACTCAGTAGAAAAACAAACCGAAGAAATCATTGTATCCCATCCATTTCTGAGCCAGGTAAACAAGAGACGCGATTTCCTGCATTATCGGACAGGACAGGTGCCTCCCGTTCCCCATATTTCTAGTGTTTGACTTTGAGGAGAAAGAGGGCCGGTTACCTTGCAGGAGCCTGCCTCCCCGGTACAGATGAAGGGCCAAGGCGGCCTCGCACTTCTCGGAGGTGATGAGGTTTGCGATGTCAGACGGGCTTTCAAAGTCAAAGGCATCTTTCAGAATGCACACGTGTCCCGCCGCCTCTAGATGGACCCTTTATCAAAAAAGACAGAGAAAGTACGAGATGGGGCGGGGGAGACATTAATATGCCACAAGTGGCTGCTCTGGTTAAGATTTTAAGTCGCTGTGCCACTAATAATACTTATTTACTGCATTGCCCTTTGTAGGCAATCTGCCTTAAGGACAAGGCTCATAGTCAATGACAAGAAACACTCATGCACCAGCCTCGGATACCCGGGACCAGGCCACGGGGAGGAAGGCTAACCCAGGAGGGCCTGGCAGCTTTGAGATGCCGGGCACACACTCCCATCCTCAGTGGCACTTGCTATACCAGCAATCTCCTTCTCTAGTTGCTTAATTCCACTTTTTTTTTTTTCCTGGTCCCTTAATTGTGAAGGGTACCTAAAGTTTGTTTTCAAGCCTCTGCTATTCGGTTCTTTAAAAAGACTTCAAAACTCACCTATTATCATAAAATACATCAAAAAATACATCATGGCCTTTCCATTCTACCTGCAATGTGTGTGTGTGTGTGTGTGTGTGTGTGTGTGTGTATGTCTGTGTGTGTAAATTGCAGGTAGAATACACACAGTCACTCAAACTCTCTTTCTCTCACCTTAGTTCAGTTGCTGGTAACAAATCTAAAACACACATCTGATAAACAAAAAAGGATGTTCCGATTGGT